AGCCGGCTGCAATGCTGCCTACAAGGCCTCCAACCTCTAGGGCACTTACATAGGAACTACCTGCATGGGGAATTGTAGGGAGAAGGCAGGGAAGAGAGAGAAAATGTTTTCCCATTGAGGTTGTCCCACAGGCTTGTCCCACGAATCAGACCCACGACCAAGGGTGCCCAGCCTCAGGGAAGGACTAAATTGGTAAAGAGAAGCAGGGCCTGTATATCTCCTGCACTGACTGATTTTTACACCCTTCCCTGTCCAAACACTCATCTTACCCACAAGGGCGGACTGCCCTCTTTCCTGGATAAGGAAGAACTGGCCCCAGTCTGTACAACAGGTCTTTACTCCAAAGACCACAAGGTAGCCGGTGGAAAGCACCCATAGATAGGGCGACAGCAGCAGATCCTGTAGGGTGCTGTCCTCCTTTGATGAGCCTGCAGTGGGAAGAGGCCAGGTAGGATTCGGGCTCTGGCCCCAGGGCACCACCACCATTCATTAACCTGCTGTCAGGACAGAACCTAGGGGCACAACCAGGAATGACGTGAAAGTGACTCCTTAAACCCCTGCTCTCCTCTCCCTACCTTGCTCCAAATCCCTCAGCAAGTGAAAGAGAAACAAGACTGGTTCGAAAGGAAAAAGGCACCCAGACTGCTTAAACTTATGGCACTGTCCAGAATAGAGAGGTCTGTGCTGTCAGAAAAGGCCCAGGAGGTGCTGGCTCTGGCTTTCAGAATAGAATTTTACCTCTCCACCCAACCTCCATTGCCACTCCTTTGCCTACATCCATTGGCAAGCAAAGGCTACTCCTAATAAAACTGTGCCAACTAAAGGGTGAATGAAGGTGCCCTAGGTGTCAGCTTGGTAGACGCTTACCCTTTTTGCCCTTGGCGGGGGTAGGGTCCAGATTTCGGAGTCCAACATCAGCAGGTTCATTGTGGATGAGCAGCAGACAGAGGAAGGAGACAACCACACACAGTGCCCCAGACAGGGCCAGTGTGCTGCGCCAGCTATAGCTCTGGGCAAGGACTGTTGCCAAGATAGGTCCCAAACCTCCAGCCAGGTTCATGCTGGTTGACAACACAGCCCACCAAGTGCCAAACTGGGAAGGCTCAAACCACTGTGAGACAGAAGTGGGCAGAATAGGTGCCTGGCTTACAGTCCACGTCAAGGGAGCAGCTCAAGTGTGGCAGACCAAGAGACTCACATTACAGGCATGAGGGAAAAGAGTGCTTCCACTTGGCAGAGCCAATTCCCTCATCTGCCACCCGATCCCACCACTCTCAGGCTCCTAAAATATCCTAACAGCAGGAGGAGCTGGCGGGGAACTCCTGAGGAACCTGCTATGGGTTAGGGGAGGAAGGTGGGGGGGTGTCAGAAGGGGCATCTCCAAGTGTTCATTAGGTACAGTCTGCCATGCCAGGCAGGCATGTCGGATGCACTCACCTTCCTCAAGATCTTCCCACAGGGGGGCCAGCCTAGTCCCTGTGCAAGGCCATTAAGAAACCAGAGAGCAGCAAAGACTGGCACTGTGGAGCTCCAAGAGAAGACGACGTTGACCAGACCAACCAGGAGCAGCCCAGAGGAGAAGAGCCAGCGAGCACTCATCTGATCGGACAGCACCCCACTCACAAACTTGCTGATGGCATAGGCTGCCGACTGGCTGCTTGTAATGAGCCCTGCAGCAGAGAGGAGCAGGGAGCAGGACACCTGAGGGGTTAGGGACAGGGCAAAGGCACAGGAGGGACGGAGGAAGGCAAGGGGTCAGGTGTGTGCAGGTGCTTGGCAGGGTGAAACAGGTTCCTTCCCAGATTAACAGGCAGACCTGGACCGCAGATCCGACACTCTCCTGCCCGCCGAGCCATGCATAATAGGCCCAGGCTGACTTAGGACTTCTTAGATTTCTATCTGTCTGTCTGAACTGGAAGGGTGATGTTTTTCTCCCTGGAATTTGCAGTGCCTACCTCACCCTGAATGCCAACAGAAGGCCTCAAGCAGTTCTGTTGCCCCACCATGCCTGAATGTGGAGTGAAGGGCTCTAGAATAAAGTATGACACCAAGCATGGTGTCCCATGCCTATAATCCCAGCACTCGGGGAAGCATAGGCAGGCAGATCTCTGTGAGCTTGAGGACAGCCTGGTCTACAAAGTGAATCCAGGACAGCCAAGCCTACACAGAGAAACCCTGTCGCAGGAAACAACAAAAAAAGAAGAAGATCTTACTCCTCTTGGAAGGTGGCATGACAGGACATACCAAACCATGGCACTACTTTCCCTGTGTTCACTGTAACCTGCAGGTGTAGAATGCCACCTACAGGTGTGAAAACCTTGCTAGCCCCTCCACCCCTGTGCCTCCTGGGCACAGGCATGTATATCAGCTAAGGAGCCCGCCTCTGTCGTTCATCCACACCCATGCACATGGAACTCAGCCTCTGCACCTGGTACATGCTCGAAACCCTCCATGCACACTTCATGCTTGTATACACCATAGTCCAAATAGTGTATCCTACAGCCCACCACCCTACCCTTCCAAGGCTCACCCAAATCATCCTTGTCCAGAGCAATCTCATCCACCAAGGATGGCATGACAAAGGAGAAGGTTTTGCGGTTGAAGTAGTACAGGCTGTAGCCCCCAAACATGGCTGCAAATATGACAGTGCGGTAATAGCCATAGCCTTGGGCTGCCATGGTAGAAAAAGCAGGCCCTGCTGGCCAGGTCACAGTGCTTCTGACCACAGCCTCTTGACTGCTCCTGCTCGCAGCTCCCTTTAGTGCCCGGATCTGCTGAGCTGTGTTTTTCTGCTCCCTCCTCCACCCAGGCTCTTTATAGCCGCCTTCTGGACAATCATTAAGCCTGGGGCAGCAACCAGGGAACCCAGTGTCCTGAGGGAGACAAGAAAACAGTAGATTACTGAGAGCCAAACTGGGGGAGGAGGAGAGGGTCCCTGAAAGAGGCATGCCTGTCTCCAGGATTTCTGCCCTTTCCCTCCTTTCCCACATCCTCTTGCTGGTAAAACCAGCTGTGATTAAAGGCTCAGCCTAATTACTTTTGTCTGCATGAGCCCAGGGGAGGCTGGGGGACAGCAACGAGCTGAGAACTCTACGCCTAGTCCTACTCCCTTAGTCAATGAACTTTCTCACTCACCCAGGTTCACTGAGGGCTCCAGGCCTCATGAAAGGCACTAGGCTGGTTTCTACATCCAGTCTCTCTCAAACATGCCCATGGTCTCTCCTGGCCTTGCAGAGCTCACTGCACCCAATGGGTATACTTTTCCTAATAGGTATCCCCTTCATCGGAGGATACGTTCCTTGATCCCACTCATGATAGTGAACAATGCATACATTTTCCTTATATAAACAGTGATAACGCTTAAATCTATAAATCAGACATAGTAAGGAATTAATAAAACAACATTGCACCATAATAAAAGTGCCTAAGCCTATTGTTTATTTCTGTAATTTCCCATTTCATTCTGTCACTGAAATGTGCAAAGCACAACAGTGGATGAGAGGGACCTAGCTAATTGCAGTAGTTGCAGAATGAAACAAGGACAAGCCCCCTTACTTCGCTCCACAGTGACACACAGAAGGCGCGCTAGGGCCTAGGTCTGGATGAGAGCCCCTTGGAACTGCATCTGGGTCCCTATTACCCTGCAACATCAGTCGGGCTTCGGTACTGCAGGGGTGTGGGCCCGGTAGCACGCCACCGCGGCTTTCCGCTCGGCTGCGCGGACGCTGGAGCAGAAGGCGTAGGCGAGGGAGCCGCACGGAGCCTGGGGAGAGGATCCTCGCTCTGGCAGCCTAGGCTCCGCCAGTCAGGATGGGCGGGCGGCGCCGCTCGGCACCTGCCCAGCACCCCATGTCCTCAAGCCACCCGGGACACCCGACTCCAGGCTGGGAACTGCGGGTCCTGGGGACAGGAGCAGGAAAGCTGTGGAGACAGACCGCTGCAGCCACGAGTGCGCCCGCCGCGTCTGCACGACCGCCGTCCCTGGGCCGTGGAAATGTCGCCATCCCGGAAGGGCAGCCACAGGGACAGCCTCGCCGTAGTCGGAAGTCAGGGGAGCCCCAAGGCCCTAGAGCTGCCCTCGGGTCCCGCCCTCACTGACGCCCCTCCTTCGCATGCCACCCCTACCTGGATGGAGGCGGGGCTCGAGGAGGAAGGCTGGTGCGCGCGCACACCCTGTGAGGAAGACGTCATCGTGACTGCACTCGGCTCCCTTCATAAGGACAATGACGCTTATAGGCTGAGCACGTGTCCCATTACAGGCAGTCGGCCAGTTTCTATAGGGTGCCTCCTGTTACGACCAATCTAAAGAAATACTCCCAGCTTGAAGGGGCATGGTATTTTCTCTAAGAAATAAATGCAGCACAATTTGGAGTTTAAGTCGTGGTCAGGTTAGTGGGAACAGAGATAAAACAATATAGCCCCAGTATTTAAAAGACAGAATTTCGACGAAACCTCGGGTTCTTTAAAAATCCTTTTAATGGTCTTGTTTGTGTGTGCGTGTGTGTGTGAAGTCAGAGGACAGCCACAGGTGTCATCCTCTGGAATACTGTCTACTTTCTTTGAGACCTGTGTCTTACTGGGCCAGGCAACACACCTCTGGCCTTTTCTTTTTTCCATGGGTGCTAGGGAAGAAATGTACTGCTCAAACATTTTACCTACTGAGCCATCATCCCCCAACATCACATTCTAATCCTTGAGCCACTACTTTGTGGAGACAAGGTTATGGCCCCTGCGGGCCTAGAATTCTAGGTGATCCTCCTGCCTCCAAGTGCCTAGGGTTACAGAGATGTCTGTTACCTGAGTTGGACCTTCCATAGTCTAACAGTGGCCTAGGGCAGGAAGTTCACCTTAATCCTAAACCTAACCCTAACCAGCTCCATCCTGCCTGAGCTACAGGGTGAGTTCAAGACGAGAATGGGTATTTTGGCAACATCCTGTCGAGACAAAAAAAAAAAAAAAAAAAAGTAAAGGGAATGTACATCAATTTAAAAAAATGATGATAGACTGTGTGTTTGTTCAGCTGGTGGACAAAAGGCAGGTTAGCCAAGTGCAAAAATAAATCCTCTTTTGAAACCCAGAACTCAATTGTTCAGTGCGAGTTTTAATACATATAAAAAGGGAATATAAAGCTAGGTAGTAGTGGCATATGCTTTTACTCCCAACATGTAGAAGGCAGAGGCCAGTGGTTCTCTGAGTTAGAGGCCACACTGGTCTACAGAGTGAGGTCTAGGACAGCAAGGGCTACACAGAGAGACCTTGTCAAAAACCAAACCAAAACAACAAAGGAATCATAAATTGCATTGAATATATGAGTCTTTGTTGACTACAAATAAGAGTAGTGAGACAACTCAAAGCAAAAAGTTTTGTGATGGGTGGACAGTCAATAAGATTCCTGTAAAGTAGTTCAAGGTCATCCTTAACTGAGCAGCAAGTTTGGGCCAGCTTGAAGTTACATGAAACACAACAACAAAAACAGGCAGTATGGCTAAAACCATTAATCCCAAGAGCACTTTGAAGTCAGTACTTACAAGATCTCTGTAAGTTCAATGCCAGCCTCCTCAGCATAATGAGTTTCAGGCCAGCCAGATCTATATCTACCTATCTCTATCTATCTATCTATCTATCTATCTATCTTTCTTTCTTTCTTTCTTTCCTTTCTTTCTTTCTTCTTTCTTTCTTTCTTTCTTTCTTTCTTTCTTTCTCTTTCTTTCTTTCTTTCTTTCTTTCTTTCTATCTATAGTGAGATCCTATCTAATGCAAACAAGAGCCACTAATCTATGTCTTCTCTACTCTTGCCTTCTGCTTTTATAGTTGAATTTAGGACACCTCAGAATTTTCTCTTATCACACCATCCCACAGGAAAATGGCTGAAGTTTTTTTTCTTAAAGTACTCCAGATTGAAGAACAAAGATCTTTTAGAATACAGGAAGAGGGGAGGAAGAGATAAAATGGGATTGGTTCTACTGGTGCTAAACTTTCACTCAACATGTATCTTCCCAGCTGAAGCCTGGTGTATACCAGGCTCTGTGCTCTCAGGTAGATGACCGAACCAAGGAGTGAGTTTCTTCAAAAAGAAGCTCCAGGGGAGCCTTTAATCCTAGCACTATGGAAGCAGAGGCAGGGGATCTGAGTTTGAAGCTAGCCTGGTCTAGAAAGCAAGTTCCTGGACAGCCAGGGCTACATATAGGCATAGTAGGTCATCTCAGCACTTGGAAGACAGAGATGGCTTGACAATTAAGAGCACATACTGCTCTTGGGGAGTGCCGGAGTTTGTTTGGTTTCTGGCACTCACATGGGATAGCTTACAACCACCCTTTGAGCTCATCAGGCATCTGCATACATGTATGCACACATGTATACAATCACAAAGACACAGACACAGACAATTAAAAGAAACTGTTAATTGGGGCTGGGGGATGGCTCAGTGGTTAGGAGTATTTTCTCTGAGAGGACCTGAGTTTGGATCAGTGCACCCAAGCTGGGTAGCTTACATCTGGGTAGTTACATCATCTGTAACTCCAACTCCAGGGGATCCAGGAACCTCTTCCGGCTCGGCTCCAACAGGCACCGTGTGAACACGTGGTCTACATAGAGATATGCACACATATGTATATGTGTACATAAAATAAGTAAAAATTTAAAAACCTGGCTTTTATTCCATATATTAAGATGAATCTAAAAAAATAAAACAACAACAAAGCCTGGCAGTGGTGGCGGCACACACCTTTTAATCCCAATACTTGGGAGGCAGAGGCAGATGGATCTGAGTTCAAGGCCAGCCTGGGCTACAAAGTGAGTTCCAGGACAGCCAAAGATATACAGGGAAACCCCAAAAACGTCTCTTTATTTAACAGATGCATGATGTGGGAAACAATTAAGTTTCTCCCCTGTATGTGTATCAGCCCTGTAATTACTACTCAGATTAACAGATCTATTATTTATTTGGGGAAGTTTCAAACCTACCCCAAAGTTTCAAAATTTCACAAAAATATTCTCCTATACAACCACAATACCATAACCACACTAAACACATACAAGCACACATATCATAGTATGCCATTAGAAACCTAAGCATGTCTGTGTCCACACTGTAAAGTTTATCTAACTTTCCTAAGTAAATATACATAAACATGCCCACTGTCAAACCACATGGAAGCCAGTTGTTACATCATTATAAACTTTAATTGCAGTTTTGGGCTGTATTGCTGTAAAAATAAAAATATCCTATCCAGCCACACCACCATAATCACACATACACACAAGTCATGGTGTGCCACTAGAAACCTAAGCATGACACAGTGACCTATTAGATGTATTAATAGGCTCTAAAACATTACAGCTGGACAGATATTGATCTATCCTAAGCCATCTATACTAGCCCGGCTACTTCCCAGCCACATGCTCTTTTTTACTTGCCATCTTAGTCTCACCTCGGTTGCCTCTGCCCCATCTGCCTGTCCTTATGGCAACCTCTCCATGGCTCCTTCTCTGGTCCCTACCTCAGATCCACCACCCCCTCCCGACACTGACTGCCTCCTGTCCTTGGTCACCCTGCTACAGGCTGATCAGCTTCTTTATTGAACAGTGATGATGGAGAACAATTTTTACACAACATTGACAACAGGAGATTCTACATAGAAATGACAATGCCCAATGACAATCCAGACTGCAACCAGATCTCAGCACAGAAATCAGCACCTGAATGCACAGTGCACAAAACCATCCCCCAGCATGGTTTTTTGCCACAGGGTCTGTGCAAGTTTGACTGTCTTGAAATTTGCTCTAAAAAAAACCAAGCTGAACTGAGATCTCAAACTTAAGATACCCACCTGCCTCTGCCTCCTTCTGCTGGGATTAAACACATGTGCCAATACCTCCCAGCTTGTTGTTTTGGTCTCAGGGTGTGGCTCTGGCTGGCCTGGAACTGCCTATGCAGGCCAAGCTAGGCTTAAACTCAGGGCACTCAGGTTTCAATACAGATTTAAAACAGTAAGAGCCATACATGAATCTTAAGAACACCTGTGGATTTCTCATGAGAGAGTCATTTAAAAACGATTTTCCTCATACAAATTGTTAACTTTCCATCTTTTTTTTTTTCCTTCTTGGTTAAGGCAGGGTTTCTGTGTAGCCCTGGCTGTCCTGAAACTCCTTCTGTAGACACAGCTGGCCTTGCACTCAAACATCTGCTTGTTTCTGCCTCCCAAGTACTGGAATTAAAGGCATTAGCTTACCACAACCTGTCTTGTTAACTATCCATTTCATCACACCACATGATTGCTTATCTTCCAGAAAACCAACCACATTTTTAATATAAGCAAAATCCAAAATCTAAAATCTGCACTTGGTGACTCACAATTATAATTCCAGCATTGGACAAGTGGAAGGAGGAGGATCAGGAGAGCAAGGCCAACTTCAGTTATGAGTTAAAGGGTAGCTGGGCCTACAGATTACCTGTTTGAAAAACAACAAACAAAAGAAAGGAGGAGAAGAAGCAAAACACAATCTATAGAAAAGAATATTTTATTGAAACAGTTTCTCAATTAACAATGGAACAAAGTACAATCTGATTCAAACCTGTCCAACCAGCTTGAACTGCTAATAAAAGAACTCAAACATATAGGACTGTGTAGGACCTTTAGATCCCTCTGCCAATGTGGCAAAAAAAAAAAAAAAAAAAAAAAAAAAGAGGGAGGGTGGGGGTTAGAAAAGACAAAATGACTGACATAACAGGTTTGCTTTGCCCTGGAACTGGAGTGGCTCCTGCTACAGGTGCAATACTGGAGGACAGGCACTCTAGGCAGTTATAACTGGTAAGGGTCTCTCCTTCCTAGCAAAGTACACTGGGAAGTTGAACCCTAACTCCTCTTCTTTACCCACAAAACCTGCTTGACAGTGAGGTGGCATGGTTTTTCTGTCCCCAGGGTCTTGGAAGAGGGGCTCACAGTAGACAGCACGTTTCTGGTCAGCCCAGAGGGAAGAAGAGCAAGAAGGGGCAGGTGCCCCAGGGACTGGGGCTGGTAAGGATTGAGTGCCTGCAGTAGACTCCACCTTTGCAAACCTCGCTACAGACTTGTACTTTCCTGAGCCCAACAAGCCGTGCTGGGGGCTTCCCCTTCTTGTTTGCTCTGGCCGCCAGGGGTCGCATGAACTGTGGGAACATATTCTAGACAGTCCAGATAAAGGCTCTGGGCAGGACCATAGCCCAATCTGTACTGGGAAGGCAAGGACAGAAAGAAGAGCCAAGGAGGAAGAGCAAGGAAAAGAAGACACAGGAGAGAAAAGAGGCTCTCAGAAACCAAGCGATGACTGAGGCTCTGGGGACACTGGCCCACACAGGAAACTGATTGAGGAGGAAAGGCTAAAGGGATGCTCAGAAGACTGGGTACTCTGTGTCCCAAGACATCCTTCCCGCTACCAGGTCTCCAACAGCTACTGGCAGCCTTCTCTCACCCACAGGCAAAGAATTAAGACAAAATAGTGATTTCCCCTAAACACAGGAGCAGAGAGTCGGAGACCAGAGGGTGGGGCTGGGGACAGAACCAGAGCCGGTTTCACCCTGGAGCTATTCCAGGACTGTTGAGCAGCCACCTCCTGTCCCAGTTGAGCAAAGGAACTTGAGCCCCTAAGGGCACTAACACGATCCAACCCTGGCGTGTAATAAATAGAGGTGGTAGGAGAAGGGGCTGGAGGCAAGTGGGGAGACAGGAGGCAGGGTTATAGTTCATCATTTTTCAGAGGCCGCTTCTGTCCGGCTTCCTGCTCTTTCTCTTCAGATTCTGTTGGGTGGTGAGAAGGGGGTGGTGGTATAAGGGTCAACAGCCTGTTCTTCCCCTCCAACCCTACAAAGGTGCCCAACACCCCCGGCTTCCCCCTTACCTGCTCCAGGACCTCCTAATTCCAAAGGCTCAGAGTCCACTGGCTCCGTATCTGCATTTTAGAAGGAAAAGGCCAGTCACTAAAGAAGGGAGAAGCTAATACAGAGGCTTCAAATCCAGTTGGAAAATATTACAAATGCATGCCACTTTTGGGGTCTCTGCTTTTTTTCCCTTTTAAGTTTTTATTTAATGTTTGTGGGTATTTTCCCTGCATGTATGACTGTGTACTACATATGTGCCTCAGAGGCCA